TTGAATGCTATACGTCGGTTCAGGGTTTGATTACTCGCGATGATCCTATGTAAAATGATATAATGTCCATATATATACAATTAGAAATACATTCACTAATCATATGGAACATTACACTCCAATGAGGTTAAACACCTCAAAACGAGCGTTCGGAGTGACCCGGGTGACATCTTCGGACTTGTAATGGCACTGGGGACTTGGGACTTGAGTTTACTCCCCATAAGTAAACATTTAAATGAGTTTACAATATGGAACACACATACATGAGTTACGGCGTAAACTCATGTGGGTGTGGTTTTGATGGTTTAAGGGCTCAAATGGACATAGGGGTTGCTAGAATGGATTTCTAAATTGCCTTGGAACACTTGGAATGAATTTAAATCATCAAAATGATTATTTTATGGGAGTTTACGGCCCAGTATAGGCTCCTGGCCGTAAACTCCTTAATCTTCATGAAAATGGTGTTAAATGTTGTTTAAAACAAATCACATGTGATTAATAGAATTATTCCAACCTAGCATGAGTTTTATGGGACATTTGAGGGGTGTTATGGAGTTTACGGCCCATGAGACCCTCCTCATGGCCGTAAACTCTAATGTAGGGTCATACAAAGTGTTTCAAGGTCTAGAACTTGCATAGAAGGGCTTCTAAAATTCATCTAAAGGCTTTAGGGGTGTTTAGTTTGCATTCTAACACCAAAAGTTTTGGAGTTTACGGCCCAAGAACAAGCCTTGGCCGTAAACTCTTAGAAATCCCATCAATGATGTGTTTTAGGCCCTTAAAGTATTTTTGGTTGGTCCCTTGATTTATTCCAAGGCTTTTGGTGGTGTTGGATGGCTTTCTAACACTTAGAATTGGATTTATGTCACATTTTGGGGAGTTTACGGCCCAAGCACTATCCTTGGCCGTAAACTCACATAAGTCCCCAAATTCATGTTTCAAGTGTCCAAAATGCTTACACCAAGGTCCTATAATTCATATCTAAGCCATAGAAGTGATTTGGAAGGGTTTTAGGGCATGAAAAACCCCTTTTACTTGAGTTTACGGCCTAAGCTTATGCCTTGGCCGTAAACTCCTTCAAATGGCTCAAAATCATAGTTTTAAATGTTCTAAGTCCATATCTTGAAGTCCATAGCCATATCTAAAGTCCAATTGAGTTTAGGAAGGAGTTTAAGGGCTTAAAGCCCCATTTAATGGAGTTTACGGCCCAAGCTTGTTCCTTGGCCGTAAACTCATGTTCTTGGTCCTAAAACTCAATTAATTCATCAATTTGAAGGCTAAAGGTGTTGAATAACATGTTAGGGAGGTTACGTTAAAGATTTGAAGCCTTAAACTTGTGATTTGGACCTTAATTCTAGCTTGAGGGAGAGGTTGTAAGGGTTTAGTGAGAAATTGGCCAAAGGCTTCAAATGATGTCTTAAACACGTTTATATAGTGTTTAAGTTTTGGACACGGTGGAATTCTACCCGATACCGGTGTTAGACGAGGTTTTTGGTCGTACCCGATTGAGTTACCGTAACCCGATACGGTAATTTCTAGAAATATTCTGATCACTAGATTTAGGTGTTAAAATGATTTCTAAATGTATTAAGACACCCATTAAGTCATTTTAAATGTGTACTAGATAATGACTTAATTAAACGGAAGATCGGAAATCGGAAATCGGAACGACGATCGGTTGCGCGAATTGTACTATGAAAGAGTTACAATAAAATGATATGGAAATTTCGGGTTGTTACAATTCACGAGTCAATACTTACTACTATGAGAACATATACAACTATACTAGGAAGAGAACATATACAACGATACTAGAACATGTAACATTTCATTACATTTACATGAATACGTTAACAATTGTGATCCACTGTATCGGAGCATGCCTTAAATGTCATGGCCCGAGTTGTAGCCAGAATTCTCTTAGAGGAAGAGCATGAGTTTGCGTATAGATCTATACTAGATTGACTATCCTACACTTTGCTGCTACCTACAGCCAGACCTGCAGGTCTGTGGGTGTGAAACGTCATTCCGTTTTACGACCATTCGTATGTCGTTGTTACCAGTCAATAGTATGGTGCAATTAATCACATAATACATTAATAGAAATCCGGTTTAAGGTAGTTAGTACAGCAGTAGTTCCTATAATACAACACTACAGTACTACATTAATTTCCCCTTTTCACATTTTAGTGATCATTTCACTTAAACATAAAATGTAAAAACTATATTTTGTAAATGATAGTTACACTTGGGAAAATTACACACTTTTACAAGAAACGAACATTTATAACAGTTCAGTCTTGGTAGAAGACTACATTGAGAACACTTAGGTCTTGGTAGAAGACACGCTTTATATAATAGTAGGAATCATAGGGATTTCTAGGGTTTTTCAAACGTTACAGTTGTTTTACAAACATTTTTACATTTACAGTTCATATACATTTTCAATACTTACAATTCATATACATTTTCCATACTTACAGTTCATAAACTTACAATTTCTTACATACAAATTAAGACACCAAAATACTTATGATCTCACCAGCTTCAATGCTGATACTCGCTTTCAAATTACTTGTATCCTCAGGTCATCTGTAGACAGGTGCCGATGCAAGGTTTAGAGAAGATGGAGCTCGCTCAAGACTCATCCCTCATTTTGATTTATGCTTTAGTGTCTATTATAATTTGACAGAACACACCTGTATTAAAATTATATTATTAATGCAATGGATGATGTTGTTGCTTGTTTACTACTTTTCATTGTTGTGATACTGTACATGACGTCCTCCGCCCCAGAATGTTTCCGCCGTTCTTGTTTTTGGGGTGTGACATACACTATTCTTTATGAACATTCATGAACATGTTCATGAAGTTCTAGTTTGATGATGATGGTGGTAGAGTTTCACCCAATAACAACATGCATGTTGTTTAATGGTGAAATCCACGGACCAAAACCTATGTCAAACACTAAAGTTTGGATTTTTACAAGTTTTGAAGGTTCATACACCTTATTTATTCAAGTATTTCCTTTCAAAACATCACTATGACAAACATATGTCCATGCATGGTCTTCAAACCGTGATGCATGTGATGAACACCAAGCTAAAGAGCTTTATGATCAAAGAACATTGTTAATAGTGCATGTAAATGATTTTGTCTATAAAAATATCTAAACATTTTTTTCTGTTCAAATCGAAAATTTTCCAGATTCCCATTAAGGTAATATGAACATCTGGAAAATCCCAAGACTTTTTATGATTTCCTTGATTTATTAAAATTGTTGCAATAAAACAAGGGCATAAATCACATAAAATACTTCCATTAAATTTCATGGATTACCCCTATAGTGAATAATGACCTCTCATTAAATTTCATCGATTTATGTTGCTGTTTAATATGATTTCGGGTTTCTTTTTGTTTGGGTGCAATAAATCACAAACCACTTTAGAGAGTGTAAAAATAACAGCTTGGAAATCCAGTTTTATTTCAATTTTTATTGGAATAAATGCTCAAAAATCATAAAATATAATTAAACAGCTTGGAAATCCAGTTTTATATTTTTCTCAACTTAGTAATGTGTAATAACAGTAAAATAAAAAGTTTGAGAATTTTTATCCTTTGAATGCTATTTTTCGTGGATTTATGTTCTTATGAAGGCTAAAAAGAATTTGGAAAATAGTTAACCATATCAAAAATTCAAGGAATATTTTCTAGAAAACCTCTATTGTATTTCGAATCTAAATACAATGTTTGACAATTTTTGGAAGCTGTTTGATAATATTTTACATTTTTAGGAATTTAAAACACCTTTAAATGAGTTGAAACACCTTTAAATTTATATTACTAAATCTGGAAAATTAATATCCCAAAGTTGTGTTAATCGCATGACTTGTAGAATTTCATCATTTCAGAAAAAGTGCAACCAATTAATATAAAATCCAATATTAGAACATAAATCGGCATTTCACTGTATGTAGAGTTTAGTGTATTAGGATTACATTTCGACATGGAAACTTAGTATTGTGTGTTTGATGTCGTAGGATCTCGGTATTAAGATGTTGGTGTATTCCGAGGCACCACTTGTATCTACATGAAACATTGTGAGTATTCACGCACTCCCCTATTTTCAGTTTTTACGTTTTGGGGTGGAAAAGCATGTCCAGAAAAACTATTATTTGCATGTTGTATTTAAATTGATTTGTATAAAACATGATTACTATTGTATTGTTATGTCTCTCTATGTATGTCTATGCAACACGGAACATGAGAACTTATCGTACTAAGGCCCTTCCCTTATCACTAACCATTAACTCTTTGAGCCAATGGTCATTATGGATAGCGCTATTAGGAATTGACAACTCCTCACTCGCCCTATTGTTGGAGTGCATGATACCATATTCTTCTATGGAACGATAAACATAGATCTTTATAGGTCTTCAGTCATAGGTTTGGTTGAGACTCATTGTTTGCTCATACACATACAAACTCGTTTCTTGTTATAGCAATAAACTTGTATCAATAATAGCAATCAACTTTGTTTCTCATTAAAGCAATGTACTTCTATTTATGAAAAGCCATATTCCAAATCTTGATTTTATAAACTTGTGAACTCACCAACTATTTTCATAGTTGATGCTCGTTTTACATGCTTTTTCTGGAAATAATTAGTAAATGGATATAAAGATTCATGATCGTAGAGCATGCTGCATCGTGTTGAAGTTATTTATGAAGTTATATTTTGAACAATGTTATTTTGGAAAAACTTGTACTTGTTTCTTTTAAGCTATGGGTTGTAAACTTTTGAATATTGCTATGGTGATGTATCTTTATCTTTTGCAATGAAACTGTTATCGCTGTCATATCTTGCATTCCCGCTTTAGCGGGGTGTGACAACCACTGATTTACCTACTTTCGAAAACATCATCAATACCCCTGTTACTTCACTCTTTTCATCTCAATACACTAAACAACCAAAAACAACCTCACCTGTTGATGATACAATGGAAAATGAAATTGATACTGAAGGTTTTAGAGGAACCTTTGAAGCATTACAGTTTGATGACACAGAAGAAGTGTTTCCAGATCACATGTTGATGACCATGAAGCAATTCAAAATTCTAAATTCAAAATTGAATTCGATTTTGCGAACTCAAGCTAATATAGGAGGTACTTCATCTGTTTCAAGTTTGGAGGTGGATGCTATGTTGAAAATCTTTGAAGGGCGTGTTACAAACAAAGTTTCTGGGATGATACGGGATTCTAAAGCAAGGGTGTTGGAGAGACTTGATCTTAATGATCAAACAAATGATAATAGACTGAGTTCTCAAAGAAAGGATTTCTTACACGAAGTGAAGGACTTGAAAGTTGTCACAAGAGAAAGACATGTTTTGTATGTTCAAGAAGTAAAGAAAGTTCGTGAAGATGTTAATCAACAAATTACAGAACTTCGGGAAGATATGCAGAAGGAAGTTCAAGTTGTACAACAAGATTATGCATCCATCAATCAAAAAGTTGACATTATCTGTAATGTTGTCACTAGATTTGTCAAGCTATATGAAACAATGTATCCTCAGGTTGTCAATCTTTTTGAACAGGCTGCAAAACATTTTGATGAATTGGTTACTTTGTTAAATGAACTGAAGGAGTTATCAGTCAAACCAGTGTCATCCTCTCTCATTACTCCGGAATTTTTATCCCAGAAATTTGTGCAATTCGAAGCAATCTTGCATAAACAATGATCACCTCTTGTTCGCATATCCAACCTTCTTCCAGCAGCATCGGATGCCCCACCTGCTTTCACAGGGGTGCAAGGGGGAGAAAAAAAGATAGAATTTACGAAGGCTAGGGAAAATATCAAAGAAAGCCAAGAAATGAAGACTGATGCGAAGGTGGTGGGAAAGGTATTTCTTTCAAATGTTTCTACTACAAAACCAATAATAGTTTCAGCTGGTCCAGTTACTTCGATTGTGATTGCTACAACCCCAATGACAAGACCACTTTTGAAAGATGTTGTTATTGGTGAATCAACTGGGAGTACTTCAAAATCGAAGACTGTGATAACTGAGACAACTTCAAAAGATAGAGGTAAAGGGATCTTGGTAGAAAAGACCAAAGAAGAAAGGAAAGCTGAAATTGATGAAGAATTAGAAAAGAGGAGAAAACATCAGAGCATTATGGCTATTCGTGCTCAAGATCCATCAAAGCATGATAAAGGAGATCCATCAAAGCAGTACAATTATGAATCAATTGAAGACAAAGTTATGTTTGATCACATATACTCATTTGAGAAGATTCCGAAGAAAAGCTATGTGGTCACTAATTATGATTCAAGTCAGCTAGATTTTCCTATGAATGATATGATGTTCATCATGTCTCAATTCAAAGCAGGGGTTAAGTGTAAAGATGCTGATGAAGGGAAAAAGTTAAAAATTCATTTTCATGCAGTATTGGGGATTGCACTTGAAGAGGTATGGTCACTGGAGAAAATAAAGAAAGTTATCAGTATCAAAAGAGATGTAGTTTTTGAAGAAGTTATTCAAAATATCAGATACACGGTGATCAGATCAAGTGGAAAAGTGTGTGACTTTACAATAGCAGATTTTCCATTGATGAATTTGTATGATCTTATACAAATTTCTCTATTGCTAAAGGACAAGTCATTTTACTATCTTCAAGAAACATAACCGCATGTTTTCTGTCACACCCCAAAACCGAGAACGGCAGAAACGTTCTGGGGCGGAGGACGTCATGTAAAGTATCACAACACAGTATAAAAGTAAATAAGCAAACAACATCATCCATGGCATTAAATATATAATTTTAATACAAGCGTGTTCTGTACAGTTATAGACACCAAAAAGTAAATCAAAATAATGAGATGCGTCTCGAATGTGCTCCATCTTCTCAAAAGCTGGCCTCGGTACATGTCTACTGATGACCTGAGACTACAAGTTATTTTGAAAGAGTTTATCAGTATTAAGCTGGTGAGTTCATAAGTTTTTAGTGTCGGTGTTTGTATCAAAACGTCTGAATCTCTTAGAAAAACCTATATTTTCTATTAAAAGTATCCTTCTACCAAGGCGTAACTGTTTTGTATGTTCGTTTATTGTAAAAGTGTGAAATTTTCCCAAGTGTAGCTATCATTGTCAAAATATAGTTTGTACATTAATGTTTAAGTGAAATGATCACTAAATATATGAAAAGGGAAAATTAATGTAGTATTGTAGTGTGGTAATATAGTAACTACTGCTGTACTAACTACCTTAAATCAGATTTAAATTAAGGTATCATGTGATAAATTTTACCATACTATCGACTGGTCACACGACAATGTAGGTCGTAAAAAGGTATGATGTTTGGCACCCGCAGACCTGCAGGTCCGGCTGTAGCTAGCAGCAAGGCGTAGGATAGTCAATCCAATATAAATCTGTACGCAAACTCACGCTCTCCCTCCAAGAGATTCTGGCTACAACTCGGGCCATGACATTGAAGGCATGCTCTGATACAGTGGATCACAATCTTGTCAACGTATTCATGTATATGTAATGTATTATTACTCGTTCTAGTATTGTTGTATATGTTCTCTTTCTAGTATAGTTGTATATGTTCTCATAATTATGTAATTTATATGTTCTCATAGTAATAAGTATTGACTCATGAATGAACTGACTCATTGAACATCTCATTGATCTAGCAATTGTATAAGTATTATCCTGTGATACCCATATGGTAACACACTAATGATGTAACTGGTACGTATGAATATAGAAGAACTTTTATGACTATATATGTACACGTGATATATAACTAATACTGAAACGACCTTCGGATGGATACCCAATATCCCACCAGACCACATCTCAACGACGAAAAGGAAATAGGGTGGGCAGGCCTTCCTAAGCCTTCTAAACATTGCTTATATAACTATACATATACAGGCATGCAATTTATAATAACTATAAAAAAGTTTAATTAAAAGCATTTGATAAGTAAAAGAGTTTGTAAAACAGTTTGATAAGCAGTTTGAACAGGAATAAAATCATTGGTTTTGTAGTTATCAATCACATGTGATTGATGTAATAACTATAATATTCAACTTGTATTCCCCCCATAAAAGCATTTAAAACATTTAAAAGTATTTCAAAGGTTAATTAAAGGGGTATGAACTCACTTGTAGTGAGTGGATTGGATTGAAGTGTCGCATACGGTGCTAGGTGACAAATGAAGACATGTACACACGCACGAGCCTAGTTATCATTTAATGCACATATATATATATATATATATATATATATATATATATATATATATATATATATAATTAGCCAAAATGTAACTAATAAATTAAGTTGGGACACTCTAGAACATGAAAACACTTTGTTTCAAGTGTTAAAGATCACAAGGATTGCATCCAAGTATTGGTAGGGCAAAGCTAGGGTGTTTGGACTTCAAGGGTAAACTCCTTTGGAGTTTATGGTTTTAATGACCTTAACCCAAGGATTTTACGGAAGTAAACTCACGGGTTTATGGTCGTAAACTATACTTCTTGTAACCTTGTGTTGTTTTGAGGTTTTACAAGTCTTTTGAAGCACTTATACTTGGTGGTTTGACCTTTGGAAGGGACTAGGGCATCAAAAACACTCCTTGGAGGAGTTTACGACCTCATGGACATTTCCCTTTGGGTTTACTACCGTAAACTCTTATGGAAAATGGTATTGCCATGTTTTCAAGTCCTTAACACAACAAGGTAATTGTCTAGGTTAGTTTTTAAGCCTAAGGAAGGATTTTGACCCATTTATATATACTTTAGGGTGTTTACGGTTTTGGGAGCTCCCCAAACCGTAAACACCTAAAAATGGTGATATTTGGTGTTTTTCAAAGCTTAGACACATAAAGGGAAGGTTTAAACATGTCAAGAAAAGCTTATACATCAAACTAGGGCTTAGATATTTGGTGTTTACGGCCCAAGAACATTCTTGGATTGTGAACTCCTCAAGCCTTGTGTTCTTGGCATATTTCCTTGAATTTTATATGTAATACTATATTAAGAAGACTCAAGGATGGAAGTACTAACTATTAGGAGGCTTGATTTGAGCTAAAAGTCCAAGAACACTTAATGTGTGTTCTTGGTGTTCTTGGTGTTTTTGGAAATCTAATCAAAACACATAAATGAATGGATGAATAGATTTACACACACTAGATTAAGTATTAACCAACTTGAAATGGTTAGAACACTTACTAGTTTGAAGATCTAAAACAAAATCTAGGATGATACTTGAAAGGATATTTTGGAGTTTACTCTTTTGGGATTTTGGGGAGTAAACACATAATGGCTAGTGTTGGGGAGTAGACTCATACATAGGTATGAGTTCACGGTTTTGGGGTGATTTTTCAACGCAAACGTAATAGTTTGGCCAGGAAATTCTAAGACACGAGGTGTTTGCGGTTTTTAAAAATCAAAACCCGAGACGGCACATTCTTTCACCCGTTCGCTTAAAAATAATAATAAAATACTCAAACGAACTTTAAATTTCTTAAAAAAAAGAAATAATTACATTACCTTATGATAAGAAGGGGTTGACTTTTAGGGTTTGACCGAATGGAAATTTCGGGTTGTCACATTTTCAAACTTGGATGCCAACACATCCAAGTTTTCATTAAAAACTATTTTGAGTGCCTTGCTCAAACAGATGTGGAGTTTGCCATGGCAAAAGGAATATAGATTACTGCACTAATGGCACACACGAAGAAACAAGTAGATTTGAAAAAAATTTAAGATGGTAAAATCTGCTTAAAGCTATTGGGAATTGTCTTCGCAGGAAAAGACAAGGCAGGAAGGGCTAAAAGATTTTTATTCCAAACTTGCAAAGTGGAAAGATACAACACATCTCAATATACAAATTTAATTGTTAGTATGAACCACTACAGAAAGAACAAAGAGGGAGATAAGAAGGAGATTAAGAAGATTATTTCATGGTATACAGAGATTCAAAGGGTTATGATGTATTCAATCGAACTACTAACCAACTAAAGACTTCGACCTTAATTACAAAGGGGGAGATTGTAGGAGTAAAAATGTTGTAATAAGTCAAAGGGTGTAGATTTTCATATGAAGGGTTTCATGTCTTCATATGTTATGAATTTATTTTACTAAGGCAATTTATTAAGAGCGCTTCATGCATAGTCCCTAGTATATTTTTAGTATGGTTTGTTCTCCTATAAATAGGAGTCTTACTAGAGGAATAGATAACGTTTTTTTACAGATTTTTTCTAAGAATTCTCTGTAAACACAAAGCATAATATTGAGCTGAAAACATATTTTATTTACATCCTTGTGCAAATGTCTCATACTTTCATAGATTCATACTCTGATTAATTTCATTCTCGAATTCACGATTCATCATTATTTTATTAGTTTTAAAAGTTTGATCTAAATAGTTTTATTTTTGAAACCTCCATAAGTTATGGATATGAAAAGGTATTAAAAAAACTGATTCAAAGTTTTATGGAGTTACAAAATTTGGTGTTAATGTTTTAAAGAATTCCATAACTTAAGAATAAGTTATCGATCACCAAAAGTTTTTTGTGTTACCTTGTTTTATGAGTGAATTTAGATTAATAAAAAAAATTACATGATAGTTGGTTTTAATCCAATTAATCTAAAAGAAGTTCGTAAAATGTGTTTATGTAACTTAAAAGTCACATTTATGAATCTTAAAACTCATAAAAGTTGCCATAGGTTACAAAATGAAGAGTGTTTTTCCTCATTAAATTGTTTTATGACTCCATAACTTGTCCTCATGTTATGGATGTTCAAGAGTCTCTTCATTAAAGTTTTTAAAACTTTAATTAAACTCTTAAGTTATGAAAATCCAAGAGTTTTGAATAGTTTCAAAACATGTTCTCAAGTTTTGGAATTTGTAAAGTTTTCTCATGAATACTTTAATTCCAAGTTAAGCCCTTAGAATTTTAAAAGTTAAAATTCTACCCTTATACTTTATAATATTATAATTTAATAATATATATATATATATATATATATATATATATATATATATATATATGTATGTATAAGAGTAAAGTCAGTCTTACCGTTAGTAGACCTCATTCACGAAGCCGGTCTATAAGGGGGTATAAGGTTACTGCCTATAAAATGGCAGTTTAATGGGTGTCCACTCTCACCTACCGCGTCCTTGACCGGTGGAGGGTCGTTAGCCGAATGGGTAGGACAAGGACTAGAATTCTCCCTTCACTTAAGTATTAATGATAAATACTAAGTAACTAAACTCTTATAAATACCCAATCTTAGTTACTTAGGAAAATGTGAATAAGGTGCTAATCCATGATATTACACTTTGCACTTTGTTTAAGTCGGGTAGTGGAGTGTGTGTGGTTAACCGGTACACTAACTCGTGTTTAACAATGTAGGCAAAGGGTAACTTAATGTTTATCATAGTATCGATGGAGCATGTGTGGTTAACCGACACATCGATTGAGGGTAAACACTTAAGGGTACCAAGTAATTTGCATGGTTACTTCACACCTTGTTTTGTGATCCTCGACATCCTAGTCACAAAATCTGAAGGGTATACTCAAGATTGAAACATGCCATTGAAAAGTTCAATGAATCTCAAAAGATCTTGGAGTTTCAAATCTAATTAAAATCTAATAATACATTTCGTTT